TAACAGAGCGATGCTGCACTCCTTAGGTCACTGACAGATGGATCAATCACTTGAATATCGTCAATTGCACAGGCTCCCTGATTAGTTCTGGTATTCTGGCAAACAAATATTATCTAAAACAGAATTAAATTTAGCGAAGAAAATGATCATAATTTATCAACATATTTGTATAAAGATTACTAATTGCTAACTGTTATTTTTATCAGTAAATGACTTATAGACAACTTTTGTCAACTGAAATAGGCGACATAAACAGCAGAAATATTTGTTCAAACATACCCTTGAAGTACCAGCTGGGCAGGTAAATTCAGTGATCTTCCATGTTCGATCTGTGATACTGACAAATTTATCTGATTGGAAGGTACAGTTATCAATATTATCACAGCATCCCTTCAGCTGTACTCCATGTGTTCCTTCATAAAATTGGAATCGTAATCTTGTTGCCTGATTAGATGCTGGTACTGTTACAGCCAATCCAGCACTTTCTCTCGGGAACAAAAATGTTGCCGCATAGAATTTGCCTTCTAAATTATGTGAATCATATGATAAGTGTAAAATTCACACAAAAAAATAAATAAATAAAAAAATTTAAAACGGGAATTTATTTTACCAGTTCCTTCTTTGATTCCAGTTATCCTATTCATATACTGACCGGAAACAACCTTAAACAGAGTTGTCATACCTCGGAGTGATTCTGTTTGATAAACGTCTTTGTAAAGACATGTGGTACCTGAAAATTCATTAATTTAATTTTATTGGACTTGCTGACTGATACTCTGCATATTTTATTGAAACATTGTAAAAGGAAAATTAACCAGATTCGAAATTGCATTTAGCAGCTCTGCAGATCGTTTCTGGCGAAGCATCACCAGCTGAAAGTGGTCCTGGTGTAACACGTTCTGCATTAGATCCTCGAATACCGCTGTCGACAGAATCGCCTAAACTGTCGCTAGATAGAGCTGTCTGTTTCTCATGATCGACATTCATTTCACTATTCACGATCTAAAAGTTTCAGTAATATTTTATTGCCAGATTTAGTTTGTTAAGTTTTTAAATTCCTTTTGAGTTTGTTTTCGAGTTTTTTTTTTACTGTTTGATAGAAAACAACTTGTGAACAGTGAAGATATTTAGGTTGCAGATGTAAAGCGTAACCTCAGTTTGCTCTACTGTACATTCTTCACCGTTTGTATCATAAAATACTTCAATATCGTCCAAGATTGCAATATCACCATTTCTACCCACAAAGTTGCTTGCTATGAAAACAATCTAAAATGAGAGTGGTGAGCCTGGCATTTATTGATAATATAGTAACGAAAGAGAAACTCAGTTATTGCAAGAGTTGAACTTTTAAAATAAGCTGAAAGTAAAATACTGAGTGATAAAAACTTGCTTAAATTATTGGTTTGAAATTTTGATGAAAAAAATGAAAATAAATTTACATCAACAAGGGAGGCTTTTGGTAGGATGACTTCCGTAACCGCTAAACCAGAGACATAAGGTAGTTCCTGACAATTCATTGGAGGATTTACGTCAGCCGTTTTGGGGAACGATTCTTTCAAACATACTTGAAGGAGGACATTTTCTGATTGCCAATGTCTGCAGAAGTTCATAATTGATACAATTTTTTTGGTAAGCTGTATATTCATAGAAAAACAGTATTTTGTTTGAATGCGATTAAGCGGTTTACCAAAACGAAAAATGTGTCAAAAGTTCACCTAACGCGAACAATGATCTCTGATGAAGCACAGGCGATTGCACATGAAGCAAATTGAGCTTCATCAGTGGAAATTGCATTACTGGCATGAGCAATCAAATAACTACCGCCTGAAAGAATTCAAATAATCATTACGACTGGACAGCAACAGAAATCTCATGTTAACGAGAAAGTGTAATTCAAAAAGTACCAATGATAAACGGGAGAAAAAGCTTATTTGTTGTTCAAATACCTGGTGCTGGAGCATTATTTGCAGCTGGTGTATCTGGTAATACAGTTGCTAGTTGCCAATCCAATTGGTCTTCTGGTGGTGGAACATTTGCCCAACAACAAGGACGACTATCAAAGTTGCATGACAGTGCATTTCCTAAACAGTAATTTAGATTTATTGAACAAAAACCAATAAAGAGGAGAGCAGTGAAAAAAAAAATACATTTTACGTACTATTCAATTTAAATGAGCTATTTAACTGTTCTGTTAAGAAAATGTAACACAAATAAAATTGACAGGAATGCCCGTTTTTTTTAAAAAAAAATTAAATAATTGTCTTTATTTCAAAAAATAACGATTAAACTTAACTGTTCTAATTAAAAAAAGAAAAAAAAAGGAAACATACAAAGAACCATGAAAAAGCAAATAAAACAAACCGCTATTAACAGGTCCGCCGCCTTCTGCATTGTAACCATTCGAGTCAAAATCGTGTAATGAAACACTTCGACCGAGAATTTCTGTAAAACAAAACTGGGTTAATGTTTTTAATTGTATTCAGTTAATTATACATGTAAAATTTGAAAAATATTTGAACTTGTTCAAATTTTCTAAAGATTTTTTTGTACAAAAGGGTTTTAAACAATTTGAAAAAGAAAACATCAATTCGACAAACAATTTTCAGAGTTTTGTGTGAAAAAATTTTCATCATTTGGAGCGGTGACAGTAATTCTTCAGCAATACAGAAAGTGAAAAAAGTTATACAATTTTTGCATTTCAATTATCTATACCACAAATCAGATGTATGTATTTATTCAACTTTTGATCAGATTTCGACTACCAAAATAGTTGAGAAGCAAAAACTTACGATTAAGCAATTGGTCTTGAACAATTGGTTGTGTGGGTCCTTTGTTCGCTGCAGCAGCCACAACAACCGGTCTTCCAACAGGGCTGGAAACAACACTTGAAATAGCGTCACCGGATGAAGCAGACTGTAGTGGGCTTTGTGGCGGTGGTAACGGCGGATACTGGGAATAGGTTGGTCCTCCAGAATAGACTCGTTGATTTGTGCTCCAACAGCAACATGCTGGAAAAAGAAATGATGAGTTTTATATAGTTCTACCTGACATCTGTGATTGGAGACGGCAACTGACTAAATAATGGTTGAATTGTAATAACACAGTTGAGAAAAATTTTTTTGAAAGTAATTTTTGCTTTTTTTTGATTTTTTTCTGCTACTGCTGTTTTTTTGTCATTTTTTTTCTTTTTTTGTTTTTTGTTGTTTCTTCAGTTTACCTGGTGCTGTGCGTGGATTTGTGCTAAGACAGCCGCTTCCTTAAAAACTTGATGTCATTAAGGATCTGGAATAGTTCGTGAACCAATATAAAAGTAAGAGACTGAAGAAGATGGAAAATGGAACATAGAGATTAGCAATTTGAGGAGAGGAACGAAGAAAGAAAATAGACGATTTAAAAATGTATCAGTTTCTTGTAAAACCCCCTTTTTTTGCTTTTTTTTCCTGTTATTTATTTGTTGTTTAATTCTTTTATAGAGTTGTCTATGGCAACTAACTGAAACATTTTGGTTAAATAAAAGTAAAAGGAAACAAAAAAAAAAGAGAAAGGAAGACAATTGTAAAAGGGATTGTCTGATGGATAATCCGCTGTAATAATGTCCAGCGAACTATGACATTTGTTTTGGTTATACGTATCGAATTCATCTCTTTATTTCGGTTTATCACTGTCGTATTTTTGAAGGTTGTTTTGTGTCAACTAGAAAACTTGTTAAAAACCACAAAAATTCTTTTTCTATTTATTTTTTTTCGGATTTTTTTTTTAAAGAATTATTTTAAAATTTTGTTTTTTTTTTGCGTGTTAATTGTGTTATTACGATTTCATTTTCGATGGTCAGTCAAATCAACAAAATGACAACAACTGATATTTATGTATTTCGGAAAATAACACTGTAAACGTCTATTGTCATAGATTTTTAGGTTTTTTTTGTTAAACATACAAAGTTTGTAAAGAAAGAAAACCAAAATAGTTTTTTTTAGTTTTGCAACAATTTTTTTAAAACCTTTTTTTTGTCCTCTATTCGACAAAGCATTAAAATTTTTAAAATTTTTAATAGAGAAGGTAAACAAACAGATATATCTGAATAAATGTAGCACAGTGAACAATCTAATAAATGGTATCTTTTTTCCTAATTTCCTCTTAATTATATAACTATGTATATTCTATCCCTCGTCACTTTGGTTACACATTATTCCACTTGGATATCTTCCACCTTATTCCACTGTCCCATTTTCCCTTCACGTTCCTTCTTTAAACATTTAAATTAACTGGTACACTTTATATGCCTCGTTGCCTTTCAGCAAATAAAAAAAAAAAAAACAGTCAAAAAAAATTTACTACTGTCAATATAGATTGAACTTCTTTTTTTTTTTTTTTTGCATATTCTACAAAGAAAACAGTCTTGGCAAATCAAAAAAAAAAAGCAAGAAAAACATAGAAAGAGGTCATAATGCGCAGTCACTGTATCAGTTTCACACCGTTTTTCCCCCATGTCCCTAGAATATCTCTGTAATTTTTGACCACCATCTAACAGGCTGATAACACTTAAGCCTTGAAAAAGAGTGGTGTTCTTTTCTTTTTTTTAGGAACAGATGTTTTAGAGAGATTGTTGCTTATTTAGATCAAGGCCGACTAGAAAAAAAAAACAGAAGTCAAAAAAGTGGAAAAAATGGCTGAACTTAGTTTATTTTAAAATTTTTTATCATCTAGAGAAATCTTTTTTATTTTTTCTGTATAAAAATTTTTTTATTTGCTGTTGTCACATATTTTTGGCCTCATTTGGAAGAAGGAAATAAATTAATTTTATTGTATCTTTACCTATTCCACTTGATTTTTTTTATCTTTACCCTTTACACCATTATTTAACTAAATTGATCATAAGTAGCATCAAAAAAATTGAGCAGTTTTTCTTAACAAAAAAAAATTTTTGTTTATGATAAATTTGATAAGGTTTGAAAAAATAAAAGTAGTAAAACAAAACTAGATGATTTTATAGAATTGCAGATTTGGAAAGCGGAGACGGGATGAGATAAGGGGATGAAGAGAATCTTAAAAATGCGAAACATCTATAGTCAGCTGTTTATCGCCGTTCGATCGGCAGATTTGTTGGTGCCAGAGAAAAAACCAAAAGTAGATGACCAAATTTTATAAACTAGTCAAGAAGAAAGAAGAATAGAGGAACAGGCTGTTCACTGCTGGTGATTACTTCTTATGAATTTTTTCTGTTATGCTGTTAAGATTCTGCACACGGTTCGAGTACCTTCCAACTATTCAAATAATGAAGGTTTCTTACAAATGAAAGAAGAACCAAACATTTCTAGCCAAAAAGACGTTTGCAAAAGTAAAGGTGTCACTAGGTAACAGAAACAGTTATTAAGATCGACAAACTTTTGAGACGACAGAAAAAAGATAACGGAAAGAAATTCACGGAAATTAGCATTTGTGACAACTGTATTGATGACTTCTGACAATAAGCGGCAAATTTGACACAGAGTAAAGACTCAAAGGTGTAAGGACCCGTTGTTATTAGGCAAAAATATGACTTTATAGGTCATTTGCAAAATGTCTTAATTAGCCAATTGGTAATTTTGCATTATGATAAACGACTGACTTAAAACACTGTTTTTTCAACTACTAGTCTATCATTTAATGTAAATTACTTTACCGCGGTGATAGTGGAACTAAAGACAAAACTGGAACATTTTTTTGTAATTTAGCGACTAACAAGATCAATTTTTAACAGTTATTAAACTCTCTGAATGATGATAAAATTTGGAGCTAATGAACTATGATCATTCAATATGTAAATAAAAAAAAAAGTTTCTGGTCAACATTTGAACTCTAAACGTAGAGCAACGAGCATCCAGTTGCCACTGTCGTAAACATTATTACAGACTTTTCAGTTCTTCTCGTTGTTGCTGTTTCGATGTATCCATTAGTCGTTATGAAACCAAGAAACGAGTAAAACTTGTGACCAGATTAAGAGTTCTCTAGTTTGTTGGTCATTGCAGTTTCTCTAAGAAATAACAGATTTTTTAAAAAGTACTCACTATTGGTTTGCTAGAATCTTTTTTCTGTTTATTGCTGCTGATAAATGTCTCAAATATGTTCGTTCTATGGATTGACATACAAATGATGACGAAGACAATTGTATTGTTCTTTCTACACTAATTAATTGGGTGCAGATAGACAGAAAAGAGTCATGGAAACGATATCAAAAAAAAAAAAAAAA